TTATCCTCTTTTGTTGTTGTTTTTTAAATGTGGTACAGGGTCTTGCTATGCAGCTTGGACTGATAGTGATCCTCCTGTCTCAGCCTTCTCAGTGCTGGGATTACAGGCATGGGCCATCACACTGGATTTTGGCACCATTTCTGGGGCTAGCATAGCATGCAGTACTGAGGATTGAACCCAGGTCCTTGCATTTGCCAGGCAGATGCTTAGACTGCTGAGTAATCTCCCCAGTCCCCATTTTATTTTTTCATTTTTATTTCCTTTGATCTTCCTTCATTTCCTCCTTCCTCTTTTCTAGTTCCTCTTTTCTTTTGAATAATTTCTTCCCATTTCACAATACCTATTGTATATTTCAGTTCTTATTTACAATGTTATATTTACATGTGTGAGTCCAATTTACTTCCCTTAGAATGTGATCTCAAGGTGTATCCATTTACCCAGAAATGACTTGAATTTGTCCTTCTTTATGGCTGAGTAGTACTCATTGCATAATAACCATGTCTTTTCTATTCATTCCTTGGTTGATGGGTACTTGGGTTGCTTCCAAGATTTAGCCATTTAAAACTGTGCTGCTGTAAACATAGGTGTACATGTCATGGTGGTGTGATGTTTTTCATTCTTCCAGGAAGATACCTAAGGGAGTAGCTGGGTCAAATGGTACCTTCAATCCTAGTTTTTTGAGGAATCACCACAGTGATTTCCATAGTGGTTGTACCAGTCTATACTACCCTGCCAAATCCTTTTTAAAAACATTTTAAAAAAGAATTTGAAGCAGGGTCTCACTAAGTTGCCCAGGCTGGACTCAAACTTTGTACCTTCTGCTTCAGCCTCCCAGAGAGCTAAGGGGTGCTCTTCTATCCCTCCTGAAGAGTTCCTTAATTGAACTATAAGTCCTTGCTTTCACAATTAACCTCCCCTAACTCACTCTTCATGCTGCAATCAAAGGCATAGTTGTAAGACAAAGGACTAATGTGTCAACCTACCAAAATTCCATCAAGCTACTTGCTTGGTCAGTTTATTATTCATCAGATAGGCATCAACTTTGTGCTAGATACTGGAACTACAAGGGAGAGTCATAAACAGACATGGTCCCTGCTCTTACAGAATGGGCATTCTACCAGGCTGGCAAAGGTGGAAGCCAAATAACCCTACAAATTATACACAACTTTATATATGGCAAGTACTATGTAAAACTAACCAGTCTTATGAGTGTAGTGGGGTTCCTGACCTGATCAAGAACTATACCTATGGACTAGGGTATTAGACCTATTCTCTTTACCAGGCTCACTATTGCTCATCTTTGAGGACTTAGCTGATCCCTGATTCCCCCAACCTCCCTCAGTCACTTCTGCTGATGTCTCTATCAGAACACAAAGTATGCTATACTAGGTCTCCATGGTCACATATGTTTTTCCATTAAAGTGTGAGTTCTTTGAGAGTAGGAACCTTCTTTCCATCTGAGTGTTTCAGGGCTTTCTGGTTAGCTCAGTAGTTTAAGTGCCTGCCTGGACCAACCCAGTCAGGCTTATGGGACCACAGTTTGATCCCCAGCTTCACGTACCATACCACACCACCCTTGAGGCAGCCTGAGCCAGCCAAAAAAAAAAAAAAAATCATCTGAGTGTTTCAATGCTTTCAATTCTGGCACTGATAGGGAATTGTATGGAGTCATTCATCAAGTATTCAGATACTTAGACCTCTCACCAAATCTAGTCAGGCTGTGGCTCCAATACAGAACTTCATAAAGCTCAGGGTGATTCTAATACAAAACCAGGATTTGATCCATAGGCATGACCTCCTATCACAGTGCCAGCACCAAATGTTATAAAGAACTAAAGACAAATAGCTTCCTAAGTTATTCTCATCATCTTCAGGTACTTATCCCTTCTAAGAAGTCTGAAATAATCAGATCCTTCTGTGATAGACTCTTCCTTATGGCAGTTGTCATGGCTGACATTTCAACCTGCCTATGAAGTTCATTCGTTATTGTCTATCTCACTAAGACAAGGCCAGGTCTTATTTGCACCCACTACTGTAGTATCTAGGCTAGTTGCCAGTATAGGTACTCAATAAATTTAATTCATACACTTAGAAGCAATATACTGTGAGAGTGCAGAGAACTTTATCAGGGCAAGAGTAGAGAAGGAATCTCCTTTCCCTCTTCCTGCTGAGTCATCTCTTACTAAAATCTCACTCAGCTTTGTTATATGTCCAGTCATGATTCAGAATTATTCATTCCCATGTTCCTGTTTTCAGATAATGAGACTAATGCCTGCCCAGAGCAA